TCCCGCACCAAAGGAATACGAAACTCCCGCACCAAAGGAATACGAAACTCCCGCACCAAAGGAATACGAAACTCCCGCACCAAAGGAATACGAAACTCCCGTCAAAAAATACAGGAGAGATGCGCATGAAAAGTCCGAATACGAGACTCCTGAATACGAGACTCCTGAATACGTAACTCCTGAATACGAACCAAAATACAGGAGAGCTGGTCATGATTCTGGTGGTTCTCGTTCTGGTGGTTCTCATGATTCCGGTTCTCGTTCTGGTGGTTCTCATGATTCCGGTTCTCGTTCTGGTGGTTCTCATCATTCTGGTGGTTCTCATGAATCGAGAGATAGCAAGAAATCTGGTGATTCTCATAGTCGTCACCGTCATTAGAGGAGGTGTCGAAAATGCACTCAAAGATAGCTAAATTTTGATTTCGGAAATTGTAATTACTTGAAATCGAATTAATAGAATAGATTATAAATATTTAACTTTGGTATTCGCAATGTTCAAATAAATAAAATAAATTTTGAAAGATCTTTTGGGATTTGTGAATCAAATACCCGGTTAAATTCAAATGAAATTTTCTAATGTTTTAAAAAAAAAATATCAAATTTGGTTATAATTTCAACAAACTTCTGATTTTGAAAATTTTTTGTTTGCCTTGGATAAATAAGAAATAGTTTTTTACGTTCTCGCGTGATTTATTTTTTGTGTAAAGCATTCTTAATTAACTAACGTTATTCAAAATAAAAATCTTCGTTAATATGTACAGTAAAATTGATCGCAAAAAATGTAAATGACAAAAGCAGTACTTTTCCAAAAAAGGCAAATATTTTAACAATCGAAATAATAACTTGATAAATATTATTAACGATCAAATATCCTTTAACGTCCTCGCAAAATCTTTCGCTTTATTTTTATAGTCATAGTATGGTGGAGTTGAATCCATAACAAAACACCAGCGGTTATCTCATAACTCCTACCCAAAGTCGTTCTCATCTAATGAACACTTGTAGAAATCAGTGGCGTCGGAGAATTCTGGTTTTATTTTTTTCCAAAATAAATATGGACATATTTCAATTCTGACGTATTAAATGAAATCATAAAAATTTTAATAAAAAATTCTTTATGATAAATCTAAACATTTTTTTTGTTTATCAATTTCTTCGTTTTTGAATTATTAATTTAACACAATTAATAAATCTTGTTTCGCAAAGTATTTGTTGCAAATAACTAACTACATTTTTCGAGGTTTTCATTTGTCCCCCCCAAAACTGTCATCAACAAGTAATTCTTCTTGTGGAGTATGTGGGAATGGATGTCGTGATCTTTTTTGTTATCTCAAAAATTAAAATTCTACTATTGTTAACAATTTACGCAGGAATATCGGCATTTGCTTTGTTACTAAAGTAGAATCAGATATTTGAGAGATTCTTCATTGCTGTTTTAGCAAAGTTTTTCACAATGACTCGTTGCCAACGTTGAGGTTCAAGCAAGATAGATCAGGGCCCTATCAAAGGAAAAAAAAATCTTTATATAAATAGCAACGAAGAAAAATTCGCGTTATTGACAAATACCTACAAAAGGAGAACTTTAGATTAGATAATTCATCCAGCTACAGTTGTCATTTATTCAAAAAGTAAAACGGAGGAACAAAATTGCAGCTATTTCGATACTCGTCATATGAGGATGCAATGGCAACCCTAAAATATCATTTAACATGTCCGGATCACGTGGAACACGAACCAGTAGTAATTTATTTTTCGAATTTTAGGACGGTTCTTTATCAAATTTTTTAAAAAACGTCAGGGATATTTTTTCGTTGCCACCCATGCATTAAATCCGCGGTCAAAGACTTTTTTATTTTGCGGTCAGTTTTTATGTTACTAAAAAAAGGAGATTATAGAAAAATCATAAAAGGGGTGCTAAAAAAAGTGATGTAAAAGATGACTTTGTGAAGGTGATAATAGTGTTAGGTAATTCCTTTAATGATATCAATAAAGGTAATGTCATGCGGTTTAGACCAAATTGCCAGAATTTGTGTAAAAGATTCCAAATTATTAGAGAACTTAGACTTTGAAGTTTGAATGAAAATTTGTTGTCTAAGGTATAAAGTGAGTCCGCGATAATGGTTTTTATCATAGTTATATGATTAAATTCTTCATCATTTCTATTACAACAACTCCATTTCTAAAAGGCCTTTATGAATTGTATTGTTTGTAGTTATTCAATAATTTAGATTTCAGCTATGATTTCTTGATCCTTTAAAAGATGTAACCGTTGAAGAACCAGATTAAATGAATTTGAATGTGAAAATCCAGTTAATTTTTTGTATTTAGCGTTTTCTCTATAATCAGCGAAATGTTTAGTATTGTATAATCTTTCAAAAAGGCGCACAGAAATCTATGAATAAGCATATTATTAAAGTTAGGAATATATCGTAAAAAAGGAATGTGATCAAGAGTAAACTGTAAATGGACGAAAGTAAAAATGATTTTGCTAATCAATTAGCCTTATCATGATAAGGATCATTAGAGTAAGTAGCAAATTTGAAGATGGATAAAGAAATTAGCGTTCTTCTATAATTTAAATATAAAAGGAAAGTCTGAATAACAAGGAAAAGCGTTAGATCTAACTATATGTGAGGCTAAATTATCAGTATTAATAACAATAGTTGAATTTAAGGTACTGGTAAGATAGCAAAAATTGTGGCGTTAGTAGAGTTAGCCTGTACAATAAGAATAGCAGTAGAAAATTCTATGTTAAAGGAATCATGTATTAAATAAAGGTCGAGCTTAAAAAAGGAAGATGATAATAAAGGCAGCTGTAGTTTCACCTAATCATTTATTATCAAAAATACATCGTAAAAAGAAATGATGAGAAGATTAGGTAGGTTTTCTTCCAATTACTCTAAACAATTTATAAGTGGGTTTATATTTGATAACTTCTTCTTCAAGTTCTCTCAACGACTTTACATATTGCTTCTTATCGATGTTGATAATATGACAGAAAATGGAAAATCGTCATTTTAAATGTCAATATAAAAACTGTCAAGAGCCTATAATTAAAGGGTTGGATTTGATGAATAATTTTATCTCTGAAAAAAAAAAAAAAAACGAATAATTCTTAATAATTTCCCATCTCGATCCCAAAATTTGCGTTCTATCTCGGTATGGTAGGTTTCAACAAAATTCGTTTCTTTGAGAATACCTTCCATTTGTGGATGTGTCAAAACAACTAGATGTCTTCTTAGGAGGGATTGATTTACTAATATTATTTTATTAAAAAAAAAAAATAAGCAGATATTTTATTATCAGCTTAAAAAAATTAAGAAATAAAATAATAATAGGTCATGTACTTATACCTAGTGCTCCGAAACTCCGAAACCATCGAGTCGACCCGAGTTGTTTGACCCGACTCGAATTTTTGCTCGTCAGGACTACTAATTCAAAAAAACCGCCAGGTCAGGGTCAAGTTTTTTGCTTGACCCGGTGATCAAGATTCCGATTTAAACAATATCATATAAATTGACGCGCTAGACTTTTTTTTGTTTTACGAATGCTTTCGTTTTCTAGAAGAAGCAGTACAACCGGTAAAGTCGATAGGTTTACTAATTTATTTGTTATAAATTAAGTGGAGTGAACAATTAAGGTAAAAAAAAAATTATTCGATTATTAATATTACAGCTAATTTCAAAAGTCACGGGATGGACGTTCATTTTGCAGATCGATAAAAAAAAACTCGGTAAAAAATTTTTGAAAACATGTTCAGATCAGTGTCCCGAATATAGCGACCTTAATATTTTACCCATATAAAATTTGTGGTTGGCTTTTTCAAATCCTTATAAATTTTCTCGGAAAGTCTCTGTTATTATCGGCTGTCCCGTGACTTATGAAATTAGCTGTAACTAATACATTTTTTTATAGTTTTTTCTGGCGGAACCGATCTGATATCAACCAAAAGGTGTGGTCTTAAAGCTAATACAATTCGTTGTGCTTGAAATTCTGGTGGAAAAAGATGTAAAAAAAAAAAAAAAGAATTAGGATTAATGCCACAAATAAAAATAATAAATTTTAAAAATAAAATAGATTATGGCACTTTTTTTTTATTTTCGTCATTAATATTACCCTTGAAAATTCGAGTCGAATCCGGTTTAAACAATAATCGGGTCGAATCGAATCCGAGTCGAACAACGAGTCGAATTCTGGTTCTGTAATTATCAACGGGTTCGAGTTCAAATATGACCCGACCCTTACGGAGCATTACTTCCACCATCTCAAAACCCTAATTGCCTCCGGTAATACCGAATTTTTCCAATCGGACATACGAAATGTATGAAGTCAAACGTTTCATTTTCAAATGGTAAATGTAAAGCAATTCCTATTTGAAAATTTGCATTAGGGGGCTTTTATGTCCGATAGAAAATTCGATATTATATCAACTCCTGTGTATTGGGAATTTGGATACTCTGAAGCCATATCAAGTAACCATGATCCCACTCTACATCTAAATTATGAAAATTTTGGTAAGTTCGAGATAACAAGTCTGATTTAAAGCACGATCAACAAACTTACCCAATTTCAAGTACGTTAGCACCAGAGATCAAATGTTGATTCACAGGAGCAGAAAAATGATCTTGCCACGCATATCAAGAATATAATGACGCCTTTATTCGATTAACTAAAAAAATAACCTACGGTTAATTATTATGGCAACATATTTGAAATAAGTTATTTTACGTACTTTCTTCTTCGTTCGGTATTGATATTGTAATGATGATTTTTTGATAATATTGGGTAAATAACAATTCAAACATAATATAAATATTAAAGAAAGATAAAAAAAAAAAAAAAAAGGATTCCATTTAAAATATAAGGAAAAAAAATTTATTTGTTATTAATTTGATAGATTTATTAAATATACATATGTATATAAATTGTAATGAAAGGTGGAAATAAAAATTCAAATAACACTCGTTCGACCTTCTAAACACTAAATCAAGTTCCGATTTCGAACCTTTTATGAGCTACATTAAAATATGATAACATTTTTTTAATAAATAAGAAGTTTGATTATGTCAATGGAATTTTATTAATTTTATTGTATAAACGGCATATAAAACGGCATTTACCACTCCGTAAATAATATATCGTTATAGCTCTATTAGTCTAAGTCTCTTATTTTTGGGGGATTAGCTGATTTTGTAAAAGAAGATTTTCCATGTACTTCTAACTCGTCACATTTGTCACTATTTTTAATTTATTAATAAAACATAAGATTATTTGTTTGTTACTAAAATTGGATTTTGTGATATCACCGAAAATAGCCAACAAATGATAGCGAAAGGAGCAAAACAAACGAAAGTTAATTTTAGCATGAAACTCCATGTTGTTTGTTGGGAAGATCTAACGATTTTTGGGTATAATACAATTGTATAAAAGGTTGATTATATCATTGGCTTATTTGTGATCGGTTTTGCAGAACCAGTTCAGTTCGATTTAAAGATCAAAACCTAGGTTCATAGAACCAGAACCTAACTGAATCATCCCTACCAATCTTTTGCAACGGTAGTCATTAAAAATGATAAATTATTTGAAAAATAAAATGTGAAGAACCTCATTCAAACAGCAAAATCCAATTTTAGTCAAATGATCTAACCAACAAATTAAACATATGATAAAAATGACTTTATTAACAAACTAAAAATATCAACAAAGGCTCCGCATAAAGTTTTAACCTTAAAATGAGATAGTTCGTAGAAAATTCTTACCCATGTTGTCGTTTTTCTTATAGTGCTATACACAACACAACACCTATTATTTCTGACTAAGATAAGAACCAATTAATTTTACATGTAATATGAAATCAATTTTATTAACCCGGAATCATTTCCCCATCAATAGATTTTAAATTTAAAATCAGCCCTGGGGATAACAAAAATATTTAGTATATAAAAATTAATAACGACAATTGTGTTTATTTTTTGATTGTTGATAAAAAAAGTTTAACGTGTTTTAAATGATTCGGTATTTAAAGGATCGAAACGTGTATTATTTGAATTTTCATTTCATCAATATTTTTTAATAAATCTATCAACTTAATAATAACAATTATTTTTTCTAATTTTTCTAAAATGGAATCTAAACAATCCTCATCTCACCTAATCGCACCAGATTATGTAAATAACGAGTATTCGTTGCCAAGTGAAGAAGATCATGAAGGATGTATGTAAGAATAACTTTGTGATTAAAAATATGTTGCAAGATGAATTAACAGTGGGTTATTTTTGATAGTAAATCGATTACAGACGCGATAATATTTGCTTAGATTTACGTGGAAAAACGAATACACTGCACCAATACAAGAAAAGTTGAAAGCTGGAGCTAAAGTGATTGACGTTGTGTAAGTTGTTGATAATGCGTATGGTTTCAAACTTGCTTATATTTACTTTACCGTATATTTCACATACTTAGTTGCGGTATGGGTTATTGGTTACTTGAAATGACATCCAAGTATCCAAAATCACAGTTTACTGGCGTTGACAAGGTATCGATTCCTCATCCATCGGACTTGCCTTCCAATGTGAATTTTGAAATGGGAGATGCATATTTTCTACCTTATGAAGATGGGTCGTTGGACTTCGTAAGGTTTAGTTTCTCGTTAGCAATTTTCCCCGCAAAAGACTAGACAAAATCTATATTACCTGAGGCTTTGAGGATTCTTAAGCCTGGAGGATATATTGAATTGCGGGAATTTGATTGTGATATGAACAATCTAGGTCCTTGTTTTGAGAAATTGTCTAATGGATGTAAGTATCATTTTCTTCTTCTTCTTTTCTTTTTTTTAAAGATAATATTTATGATAATAATAAAATATCTTTTTAGTTATTCAATTTCTTAAAGCTAATAAAATGGATACAAAGTTATGTTCAAATATGGAAAATTATTTAAGAGAAACTAACATCCATTAACACGATTGATGTAGAATGTAACATATGGGATGGTACTTATGGAAAGTTGGTAAATATGATCAATTTAATACGTTTTGTTTTCCTTTTGAGAGAGCAAAGTTATTCATTAAATGCTTTAATCATAGGCTCTTGAGGATTTTATAACGACTTACAAATTAATGATGCCTTATCTTTCTAAGTTTATTGGAATCGAAAAAGATCCATATTTAAATTTATTGAAGAAACTTGAAGAGGAAGTAAAGGATTATAAGAGCTCACATAAATTATTTAGATTTATCGGAAGAAAACCTTCCTAGTTTAAAATCAATCTAAATATATTTTTCTAAATAAATAAATTTATATATTCGATACACAAAAGATTTTAATAAATTTTTTTATTTCGGCAATAATTAATACATTCATAGCAAACATATTGTTAAAAATTCTTATTAAAATTTTGAAAGGAGATTATAACTGCCGGCAGTTCACGCATGTGAATAAAGCAAAATAATTGCGTAAATGCAAACGTGCATAAATACTGACCACGCAAATGATAAAAAAAAAATTTTTGAAGATAGATATGTGAAACTTTAGCACAGAATTCATAAAGCATTTGTATTTTTATGCTAATAAATGAATAAATATTACAAATAAAATTTTCTTTTATGAAAAATATTTTTATTCGAAAAAAAAAAAAAAAATTTAAATGGAAAAATTGCCGAATGGGACCTTGCAATAGAAAAGGGGGGAACGGCTCGAAAAATAAAAATTGAGTTAATGCTAAATCTGAACTAAAAATCATATTTGCATATAAAGTACATTGAATTTTTCCTCCCTTTCTATTGCAAAAGTCCCATATGTCTTATTTTAACGAATATAAATAAAAAATAAATAAAATAGCTCCAAATTATTGACATGTGATTGATGTGCATAATACTTGGAATGATTGTTTTTTGATGTATGGTGAGAGGCATTGTGTAACTTAGTTGAATAATGGACTCATATATATATTTAGTAAATCTCCCACGTAACATGACTAATATAAATATAGAAGCGCAAAGGTTCATTCTTTTAAATTTTAACGATAAAGTCAAACCGACAAAGAAATGGATAAAAAAGGTAAGCATGAATTTTAAATAAAGTTTACTTGATAATTGAAACTGAAGATTGTATTTATTTTTTAAAAAAATACATCAGAAGACAACATTTCTTCGAATGATGAAGGTAAATATAATAATAAATTGAACCTAAATGATAACTTATTAAAATTCTTTTTAAAAAATATGAAATTTGACATTCAGCTTTAAATGATGAAGGTAAACTATAATAATATTTATTGCATTCACACAATTTTATTTCACTAAAATTTTAATAAATTTGAAATATTACATGCATTAGATGGATTAAAAGGTAAAATATCTAGAGTTCTTTAATGTTAAAAGGAATTTATATATTTATTAAGTCAACAATAATTCTTTAAAAATAAATTTTTTATCGTTAACAATACTATAAATACTATAGATTGTAAGTCATTTAATTTTTATTGTAGTTTTAATTTATGTAATTTAAATTCAACTTAACTTTTTTAAAAATATATTTAATGATCATTGATACCAAAGGGAGTAAGATATAACTTGTTTATTATTGCAATTTAAATTCAATTAATATTATATAAAAAAATACTTAATGATTGATAATATAGGGTCTTTACAATAGAAAGGGAGGAAACTCTAAAAAAATTAAAATTTTAATTTATAAGCCAAAAATATTCTAAATACTATAATTTGTTCAGATTTATTATTAACTTATTTTTTATTTTTTTTTGAGTTTCCTCCCTTTCTATTGCAAAGGCCTCATATTACTGTTAGTAAGTCATTTATTGATAATTAACTATTTAATTATACTTTTTATTGTAATTTAATATTAACTAAATTTTATTTAATTTAGATAGTAAAGTTACTTTATTTGATTAATTATACTTTTATGTATTTAATTCAATTTCAATTAATTTTATTTTATTAAAAAAAAATTAATAATTGGTAAAATTACAAGCAAGTAAATTAATTTTTATTGATCAAAATATTAATTGTGCTTTTTCTAAAATTCAATATTTTTTAATTACAAAATATTTAACAAATTTAACAATATAGATTGTAAGTTAAATATTGAATGAATTATACATTTAATACTTTTTATATAATTCTAATATAATTTTATTTGTAAAAAAAAAATTTTTATGTAGATTATAAGTTAATTATCTATATATTGCTAAATTTTAAATTTGTTATTAAAATATCTAATGATTTATTGATAATAATATAGATGGTAAATGATTTTTTATTTATTAATTTTAATTTAAATACAACTTAAAATTTATATTAAAACAATAATTTAATAATTATTAATATTATAGAAAGTAAGTATTTAGCATAAATCATTAAATTATAATTAATTTATCTAAATTTTTTTATTTAAAAATCTTTTAATAATACAAATTGTTAGTTATTATTACAATTTATTATACTTTTTATTATAATTAGTATCAACTAAATTTTTAATTAAAAAATTTATTAATTTAGTTAATAAGTTTTATTAATTAATAATGTTTAATTTATTTTAATTAATAGTTATATTTAATTATAATTTAATTATAATATATTTAATAAAAACTTTATAATTATAGATGGTAAGTTAATAATATTAATGATTTTTATTTAATAAACTTTTTATATTAATTAAAGTTTTTATTAAAATATAATTAATACTTAATAATATTATAGAAGGTAAAATTTTTTATTAAAATTAACTTTTTATTATAATTTAAAATTAATTAATTCTTTTAAAAAATATTTGTTAATATAAAAAGTATGATATTTTAATTATTAATTATATCAAATTATATTTTATTGTAATTTATATTTAATTAATATATTATTTTTTTTAAAAAAAATACAATTTTATTAAAGTTTATAAGTTATTTTATTTAATATTAATATTTAATTATTATATTTAATATAAAAAATAATTAATTATTTTTAAAAAATAAAATAATAATTTAGATTGTAAGTAATATTTATAAATAATTATATTTATTATAATTAAATTTTTATTAATAATAGTTGGTAAATTATTTATATTATATTAATTTTTTTATATAATTTAAATTAATTATATACTTATTATAAAAATATTTAATAAATAGATCATAAGTTAATTTATTAATTAATATAATTATTTATTATATTTAAAATTAAACTTATTTAATTTTTTAAAATAATTTATAAACTTTAATTAATAAGTTATTAATTATATTATATTATTTTAAATAATAACTTAAATTTAATTAAATTTAGAAGGTAAATTATTTTTTAATAAATATATATTTTTATTTAATTAAATTTTTTGTTTAATAATTTATTAATTATTAATAATAGAAAATAAGTTATTTTTAATAACATTTTTAATTATTTATTAATTTTTATTTAATTTATTAAAATTTTTTTTAATTAATTATTTAGATTGTAAATATATATAATTTTAATGAATATATTATAATCTTTTTATAATTAAAATTAATTTGATTCTTTATTTAAAAATATTTAATAATTTAGCTCATAAGTATTTAATCATTTTAATTAATTATAATAATACTCTTATACTGTATAATTTAATATTAATTAAAAAAAAATCATTTATAAAGATGGTAAATTATTTTTATTAATTATATTAATTATTTTATTATAAATTAAACTTAATTAATATAATTATTGTAAAAATAATATTTAATAATCAAGATAGTAAATTATTTATTAATTAATAATTTTTTTTATTATAATTTAAATTTCATTAAATTTTTATTTAATTATATATTAATAATAAGATGATATAGTATATTTATTACATTTATTAACTAATTATACTTTTTATAATAATTTAAACTTAATTAAATTTTATGTTCATAAATATTTAATAATTTAGAAAATATATTATGTTATATTAATTTATATTATAATTTTAATTTAATAAAATTTATTATTTTTAAAATTATATTAATAATTAATATTATTATAAAAAGTAAGTTATATTATAAAATTATTTATTTATTTTATTTTACTTTTTTTTTAATTTTATTTAATTAAATTTGTATTCAACAATATTTAATAATTTAGATGATAAATTATATTTATTATTTTATTTTATTATAATTTTAATTAATAAAAATTATTATTTATATAATATTTAATATTTTAGAAGGTAATTTAATTTATTTATTTTAAATTATATATATTTAATTATAATATTATTATTATAATTTAATTTTTTTTATTAATAATATTTAATAATATAGGATGTAAATTATCATTAATTAAATTATATTTAATTATCTAATTATAATTTTTTATTATTGTAATTTAACTTAAATTAATTTTTATTTAAAATAATAATGATTTAGTTGGTAAGTTATTATTTATAAATAATTATGATTTTTTATATAACAAAAATTAATTTAAACATTTTTTTTTTAAAAAAAATTATTTTTTAATAATTTAGATATAAGTTATATTTATTAATTAATTATATTTAATTATTATTTTAAAATTTTAATTAATTTTAATTTAATAAAAAATTTTAATAATTTAGATTGTAAGTAATTTTATTATCTATATCAAATTTTACTTTTCTTATAATTTAAATTTAATAAATTATTTATTTTAAAATTGTTTTATAATTTAAGTGGTAAGTAATTTTTATATTTAATTATATTTATACTTTTTTTTAATAAATATTTTAATAATATATATTATTATAAGAGGTAAATTATTTTTATTTTATAATTATAATTAATTATATTATATTTTTAAATTTAATTATATTTATTATAAAATATATTTAATAATTTAGCTAGTAAGCTAGTTTATTAATTAATTTATTTAATTATATTATTATAATAAAATTTAAATATTTATTTAAAATATTTATAACTTATCTTTATTAATTAATTATGTTAACTATATTAATTGTATTTTTTTAAATTTTTAAAATTTATAATATAATAGATGGTAAATTATTTTTTAATTAATTATAGAAAGTAAGTTATTTGTTTTATTTTATTATTTTTTTTAATTGTATTTCAATTAATATTATATAATATTATATTTAAATAAAAATAATTTTATAATTAATAATATTATAGAATGTAAGTTATTTTTATTAATTAGATATATTTATAATATCTTTTATTATAACTTAAAATAATTTTATTTTTATTAAAAAATATATATATACATATATATTTTTAATAATTTAGTTAGTAAGT